TGCTGAACTGAATGAAAATGTTGTTAATGATTTCAGTGAAGTCAAGTTTTCACCCATCTTGCAAACTTTAGGGACAAAGAGGGCTCCTTTAATACAGAAATATTATAATTTTCATTTACTTAGACAGGCATTGCAGAACTTCCTCAGTAGCTGGTGAATAATTTATGTCTGAATGGTTTACTATCAAAATGCAACTTGTCCCTGCCAGCATCGATTTCACTGCCTGTGATGCAAATTATGTTGTGATTACTGGGTGCAACCATGAAGAAAAAGATTTAATTGGAAAAAAATGTTGTACATATTCTCAGTTTATTTTTTTTAATTCCAGATTTTTTATAGTAATACCACATTGATATAATACTTAAATATACTTTAGATCAGGAAGATAACATATTTTATTTAGGTTCTGTTGTTAGAGTTGAATTGAAATGACTATGGTTCACAAAACAGTTTTTATTTTCTGCTTTTTACAGGCTTTTGAATAACAATCACATCAGAAAGATTTCAAGAAATACTTTTGAAGGGCTGGAAAATCTACAATACCTGTAAGTCATAGCAAAAACAAATATTTATCAGTGGCAACAAATATTTGTCACTGACTCTTTGTCTGTGGCAGAGTGAAAGCTAACCTTCCATGTGTGTGGGTTTTTTTTTTTTTATTTTGTTATTATTATTCAAAGTCATACATACTAGTTAGGAAGCATCCTTAGTCCCAGCTACAAAACCATTCCTTTATCAGATCTCCGAGTTTGCCTTCACTGGGCCTTGTTACACAGCTATTTTGGGTGACTCCTGGAGCTCATAACATTAAGACTTGAAACTGGTTTTAAGCATTCATTATGTAGCTCAAAGTTACACCACTCCAGGGCAGGATTATCTCTGATCCATGCTACTTGTGATACACTACAGTGTAGCCACTCTAGGCTACACCTTAGTGTAAACATCCCACCTGCCCCTCTCCCTTTTTTGCCCAGATTGCACCCACTGCCCCTTCACTCTCCCCAGCACCCCACATCCCAGCTCACTTACTTATAGCTGCCCAGCTGTCTGTCCCAGGGAAACAGGGAAGGGTTAAACTGCCTGTCCAGCTGCTGCTGCTCTCTGGGCAAGCTCAGTCCTGAGAAGTTCAGCAGCAGTGGCTGGGCAGGCAGGTTTACCCTTCCTTGCCTACTCCTCCGGGACAGCCAGCCAGCCAGTTACAAGTAGGTGTGTGTGGGGGGTGGGGGGCAGGAAGGAACCCTGAATGGCAGTGGGGGAGTCGGGAATGGGAGGCAGGAGTAGATTCTTACCTTTCAGTCCTCCAGGCTCCTGCTGGCCTGTATTTGTGACTGTTTCGAACTGGAACTAGCACTAATACTGATCAACACTTGTGCAGTTCACAGTGTAAGGCACGACAGGACCCACTTCAACATGTAACATGTAAGCATCTGGGAGCAGTGCATACAGCTAACTTACATGCACAACCTTTGAACATACTGGTCTGTGTGGAGCTAGCGTGTTGAAGGGGCAGAGGTGTGTGACTGGGCTATAATGAGCTTTTTAAAAGTCTTAGCCCAGAGAGCCCAACACTGGGGAGCTTCTACCTGATATTGGGTTTACATTTCCCCTGGACCTTAAAAAAGTGGTCTTGCAGCTGGACTTCACTCCTGCTTTTTAAAGCTCCTGGGGCACTATGAGCCCAATATCAAGGAGCTTCTCCCCAGTTTTGGATCAGGCTTGACTTCGGGGATTGGGCATAACATTTATCTGATGGCACCATTATATTAATGTCTGTTAGGGTACCTGAATGTCATATAGAGCACAGTGTACCAAGAAGGATCAATTATCCCATTCTGATTTGTAGCATTTTATGCCCCATTTTGTGTGTTAATGAGGTGCTTTACTTTCAGAATGTGTGGGTCTCATTTGGTTCTCATTGTCCACAAATACATGCTAATAAGGTTTTTTGGAACTTTGATATTGAATAACTGCTTTTATCTATGAAAAATATGGTGGGAAGGAAGTGGGGAAGAGCCGCCTCAGATATACTGTAGAAGTTTTATGCCAACTAAGGTTGTCACCACATTGAGGGAACTCTTAACTGCAACAAAAATGTGTCAAAGGGAGTCAGGGATAAAGTTCAGAATCTAACAGCAAAAACACCACAGTCTAACGTACTTTTCAAAGATGATGTGAAGGCAATGGAAAAACTGGTTGTGAATGAAATTTAATATAATTATTTTATGTACTCATTCATTCTCTTATCATCATAATTTTGCACAGTTGAGGACTATGGATTTGCCAACCAGTTGCATCCAGACATCTCTCTAAGGCTTTATGCATATGTTATGTCCCCTTAGCTAAACTGTACTTTGAATTTAGTATATTATTTCACCTCTGCCTGTTCCTGTAGCATACAAAAATGTATCTATATGGCTGTTTTGTGTAGGTCAATCCATAGTACTTTTGGCACAATGTAACAGGGGACATGCAAATCTGCTGTCACAGTTTTTCAAAAACGGATTCATCCAGTTGGAGCAAGAATTAATCCCAGAAACATCTGGCAGTTTCTCCGACTCCTGAGTTATTATAAATTATGGAACTGTTCAGTGCATCTCTGAAGGCAGAACCGAGACCTATATTTGCTCTTATATTTTTTTGACAAAGCATCTGGCTAAGCAGAGAGCTTATGGTTAATGTGTTTCTCTGTAAGCCCCTGAGGAAAAAATAAACTCTGTCCACCAAACAATCACAGCATAATAACTGCCATTCAAAATGCAGCATTAATGCTGTCATCTTTTCCATATATAATCTTGTTCATTTGATGCACTTCAGCTCTACTGGGAGTGTGGGAAATTGGCTTCATTCATCCAAGTGCTAATCACCACACTGAATACTTCACTCTTCAGGATAAGCTGTTGCATATTAAACTTCCGCTTTTTTACAACCATTATTAAACCTTTCACAACCAGCTAACAACAATGGATAAAGGGCATTTTGATTATGTTTCTTTTCCATTCAGTATAATGTGCTTTTCTTGATGCTAAAGGTCATAATCTAAACTATTAAATAGATAGTGTTCATGTTAAACTGATTGCCTTCTGTGTTAATTAGAAAAGATTGTGTGGTTACATATTTATAATAGCTTTTACACTGTTTGACATGTTCAGTAAAATCCTTGACTGTTGCTATTAATATAGATTTTGCAGAATAAAGGTGCAGTATAATAGAAATCACATTTATGTTTTCAGTGTTGAAAATTAGGTGGCCTAGTTTATGGCATTCACAGCTTTTATTTTTTTTTAAATAGTACCAAGCATGTCCCAAATATGATAATTTTTTTGTTAGAATTTGTCCATCTTAAAAAACAACAACAACAGCCAAAAAAACAAAACAGCGCCCCCCCCCCC